CTTCCTTACTGATTAGATGCAAACTATCTTTCTTTGTCCCGTTTATTTCTGACTATGCTCCTGACTTTCTGTCACCAAACTGGATGAAGTCCATGAGGGTCCTCAGTAAAGCATAAAAACAAAACCCCTCCAAAACAATAATAGTAAGAGAGCTTGAATATTTTCCTGTGTTGAAAAATGTCTAGGTAGAAGCCGATTAGCCATGGAACTCTACAGCAATCCTTAGGTAAATCCTTTCTGTGTGAGCACAGCTGGGAGAAGTACAACGAGACTGAAGACAGGAAATGTAACTGCTGGGCAAAGGCCAGAGTGCCCTTTTTGGGCACCTTTCTGCACATTGTTAGCCAAGCAGGAGGTGGATTTGCCACCAGAGTTTGGCTGCTGTGTGTGTGTGATCTGTAGGTTGTGGCAGGCAGGCGGTTTGACGTTCTTTTAATCACCACCTTTGCATATCTTCTCGCACACATAGCATGTTGTAGCTGTTACTGCTGCTGCTGGATCTCTCTCTAGATCCCTTCAGCTTTTTTGGTAGGTAACAAGATGGAGAGATTACAGATATGTGCATTAGACCTCATTGCCTTTAATGGCCACGTAGGTTTTCTGTGGAGTTGATCAATTTTCTTTGCACTGCTTAAACCTTTAAGGCTTCAGCTAAAGCAGATGTTTTGGGGTTTTTTTTGTTCTAAGAAATCCAGACCTTGTTATTTCATTATGAAAATCTTACTTCTTTCAAGAGGACTTTTTAGAGGGGCAAGAATGATTTTGAAAGCGCAGTCTGGGAACACCAAGAGTCAGGATACCCAAGAGAAATGTATTTGATCAAAAACACCAGCAGAATTCACTAGACTTGAACTCTTTAAGAAATCTTAGGAACAAATGTCCCCAGCAGAATATTTTGTGGTTTTTTCCCCAGTATGGTTTGTATCAGTTGGCAGTTGGGAATATTCAGGAAGATTGCATTCAACCTGCCTGTAACCTCCCTTGCCTTTATACCTGGTCAGGGAAGAGCAGGGTGTCTCTAGAGCAGGTACATCAGACCATGTCAGTGAGCTGCTGTGGGCTGCCAGCTGCAGGGCTCTGTTTGTGGAAAGCCAGGGGCATTGGCCTTTCTCAATACTTACATCTGCACTGTTGCATTTGAAGTGTGTATTTCTCCTTTGGTTTGGACCACATTTAGCTTCTACTTGCTTGTCTTTACAAGTTGTATTAAGAAAGCAATCATTAAAATATAGATTTAGAGAAGTTCAGAGAAGTTAGTTGCAGATAACTACTGACATCCTGTGTGCAAGTATTAACATTAGCTACACCAAGGACAGAGTAACATTAGCTCTGCTGATGGTGTTGTTCTGTGTTCGTGGTGCCTGGCAGGTCGCACTGGTGACAAGTGTGACTTGGTGGAGCTTGCAACAAAAAGGTTCATGAAAATTAATTTTTTTCCATGTTTATACAAATACGAACTCGAGTAGATTAGCAGCAGATAGAGCCTGGAGAGGTGAACGATGTGTAAGAGCTGAATAGGTTTCTGCATCAGGGATGAAAATTTCCAGTGGAACAAGTGTGTGGATTTCAGGAGTCTGTTAGCAGTTTCCCTGTGTGTCAGCCAGCTGCTGGAAGTCCCCGTGGCCTCTCTTTAAGCAGTAGGTGGTGGAACAGGGAAGGTGGTTCTGGGAGGGAGCAGGGAATGCGCTGGAGGTCTCACTCAGGGGCTTGGTGGCTGCCAGCCCCTCCTGTCTGCTCTGCCTCCAGGCTGCTCTCCCTGCTGCAGAGTTTGGCTGCTCACGCACCTGCTCCCAACTCGATGTTGTAAAAGTAACCCAGGTATCACTGCTGACACCCCACTAAACCCTGAACTGTGCAGAGGGCTTTGCTTTTCTGCAGAGCTCTGGTACTCAACAGTGCTTTCAAGTAAATAACTTCACAGCTTCTGTTTAAAAAGAGCAAAAGCAAATACTGGCTGGTCAACAGTAGCGTGACTGATAAGAACCTTCCAGCCAGACCACAAAAACTCATAGTTTTTTAAAATAAAAACCAGAACAAAACCAAACCACCTCTCAGGAGTAGGAATGGGGAGTGATTGTAGTTGGTGTTAGGTTTTTGTCTTTAAACTCTGTTTACAGTCGCACTGATTTAGACTTTTTTTAAAACACTTTTTTTTTTTGTATTAAATTACTTATTTCTGAGTAGATGATGCAACTGTCATGGAAATGAATATTTGTAATAGTTATAATCTCTAGCTTGCATCCAAGAACTTTTCTTTGCACCACTCCTCCACGTTTTCTTTTCCCCTTTTTTTTCAAAAAAGAAAAGCCAAGTCCATAGTAAGCCTTTTCTTTCTCTCCTCCACTTCGCAGGCGATATTTGAAGTGATCTCTTCTGAGCATTCTTACTTACTGAGCTTGGAGATTCTGATTCGGATGTTTAAAAATTCCAGGGAACTGAGCCTCACAATGACCAAAACAGAGAGCCATCACCTTTTCTCCAATATCACAGATGTTTACGAAGCAAGCAAAAAGTAAGTGTAGCAATAAATTTCTACATTTAAAAAAATATATATTTTAAAAATTATAAATTTAAATATAAAATTTAGTAATTATAAATTAAAATTATTTACGATACATGTTTTTAATTATACTTGAGGGGTGATTACTGATAGGCAAAATATCTTTCAAGCAAGTAGTGAAATGAAATATAGAAAATAGTGTCTTTAGTGTTACCACCAAATGAAGGAATAGCTGCAAGGTGGCAAATTCAGCAGAAATGTGGGCCTGACAGTTTAAGAATGGGAAGTCAAACGTTGCACGTATTAATATGCTGAGTCTTAGTTTTTTATAAGCTGTAAATAAATTAGAGTGGAGTTTGATTCTCTGCTCTTTGAGAGCACCAGAGCGCACTGTGAGTGCTCTGCAGTGCTAAAGAATCGTGTCCTATAACACAGCCAAGGTTTGTTTTGCTCCCCATGGATGCTGTGTTTGGAATACGAGCGAGCCCCCGTTTGTTTGGGTTGTATTTTCCTTACACACCTCCCAGGCAGCTCCTGGAATAGAGCTTTGGTTGGTACTATCTGTGATACAGAGTGGTGTTTGCAGACTCGGGCTGTGC